TTTTTCTGCCACTAAAATCAAATATTCCCATGAATTCCCAGGTGTTCTTTATAAAGCCTGGTTTGTTTTTCAGAACCTGGTCAAGTCTCTGAAGTCGGTCCTCCATTCTCATTTAGAAGACGTGGCGATGGCCCTGCTCATGGTGCCTGCTCAGTTTGATGCTTACCTGCTCCGAAAAGCCACCAAGGTGAAGTCACACCATATGCAGATGATATTTGAATCTTCTTTAATGTGGTAGCTGTCAGGAAAAAAAAACTAGTGAAAACAAAAGTTTCATTAAATGAAAAGAAAAATGTCAGGTGAGGCCAWTCAAAGGTCTAGACCTTTTTTGTGTTTATTCTAGCAGGGTCTGGGCACRGATGAAGAGGTTCTGGTGGAGGTTCTGGCAACGAGGTCCAACAAAGAGATTGAAGAGATTAAAAAAGTCTTCAGACAAGGTTTTTAGCTCACCGTTCTTTAAGTTTTAAGGTCTGAGTTCATAAAATACTTCATATTTTAACGATGTGAACGTATAATTGTGCAGAGTACGGCACAGAGCTGGAGAAGGTCATCAAGGATGAGACCAGTGGAGACTTCACCAATGCCCTGCTGGCCATGCTGAGAGCCCAGAAGAATGAGACGACCGACGTAGACGTGGAACTGGCCAAAAAGGATGCCAAGGTGAAATCCCATTCTGTTTTTATGATCCGACACCCGGAACGTCGTGTGAATCAATGAAACAATGAAACTCATGTTGGTACAAAGGTGTAGCGTAAGGTTTACATCTTCTCAAAACTTAAAAGTAATGAGGAATCACGGATTCTTTTCTAGGAAGATAAATACCTCTCTGTGGTAAAAGTGAGAAATGCACACACACAATAATTTGCCAATTCAGTAGCTCAAGTTTTCTAAAATAAATGATATTTATTTACAGAATAAAATAAACTACTTATGTACAAACTAATGTGAATAATCAGAACTTTATGAGTTAAAACATTAACAGGAATCACTTCGCGTCCATCGTGATTAGTGAAAATATGACAACTCAGAACAGTGGACAGTAAACTCTAGGCTTAGAACTTGATAAACCAGGTGTTTACAGGCACATTAAACTTATGGCAAGGTTTTAAGATTAAGAACAGTAAAGAAAAGGAGGATTAGTTTTAAGATTTAAGAACGATCAATTATCAAAGTGTGGAAACCGGAACAGCACCCTGCGTTTGTCCACCGCGTCGGCCGGATCTCCGGACACTATACAAAACTTTCGCTTTACCTGTTGGTGTTTTCGACCGTCAGGTCAGCTTGAGGGGAGAGTTCACTCAGTCTGTTCTGGATTCCCAACTCAGGAACCTCACAACCAGTAAAAAAACTCCCACGCTTTGTTTACTGCGTCTCAAAAGATCTGCTTTAGTCCGGCAGAGAAAGACGAGATAACTCGGTTCAGGTTTCTTCAAAGTAAAAGCTTCTCATCAGAAGTTTCAAAAATTAATGGAGCTTATAACTGAAGGTGTCTTGTTCTAGACAAGAAGAATTGCTCGTTAGCTCATGAGACAAAGCTCTTTGTCAGGGGCTGAATTTCCTGAAGGAAAAAACAGCTCATGAGACGAAAATTAATGTTTGTTTGTCTCTTCCTTCTTTCGTTCTGTCAAGGCAAGTTCTAAAGAGGAGAAGCTAGGAACGACCTTGACTTGGTTAGTCCAGGCAGGAAGAGAATTATTTTAGACTAAAGACCCATGCCATGCAATGGTGACTGGTGGGATTTTCTCCAGGTGGGGCTACAACTCCATAATAGACGTATCCCAAAAAGCAATCAAACATGTACTAAGTTGTATCACGCCAGTATATTTATTAAAATGACAATAATAAAACAGCATTACAATGTCATGTAGTGTTTTATTTTTATACATAAATTTTGCTCTTCGGTTACTGAGAAGCAAATTTCTTCATGACTCTGGTTAAAGTCAGGCATGTTTTAACCAGATTCTTATAAAGCATGGTCAGTGTGAGGTGTGATGTTGTACCTGAGGAAAGTCTGGATTGTCTTCAGTGKTCAGCTCCTCTCAGATTCAGCTGTGGTCAGAGGAGATGTGATGAGGATCTTCAGCAGAGTCACAGTCTCTGAAGATGCAGATTGTTCTCCATGAAGAGCTCCTCAGCACCACTGCAGCCTCCATGGTGGTGAACTGGAGACCTGCAGGAACGTCTGCCTGCAGCTCTGATCAGGTGCTTGTGAATGGCTCAAGATGATGTCACAAACCTAAAAAGAATAAATGCACAAATTTAATTCAGTATGGATATGACTACAAGTGAGCTTTATAATATTCAATATATAGAAAACAACTTAAGTTATGAATACACGTTTATTTATTAACAACAAATTATTGCACCTCTAATGTATTATTATATTATATTATATTATATTATATTATATT